GATCTATAAGTCTTCCTTTGAACCACAAGCTAGCGTCATGCACCTTTTCCTGGAAAATGAGAAAAGCACACCAAAATGCACACTTAGATCTCACAAACACTCAATGAGACGTTAGGGTATCTGAAATAAGGCTAGAAGTCAATGATGGCTGAGAAATGAAAGAGCCTTGAGCTTATAAGGATGCTTAAATAGTGCCTAAACCCTAAAAATTAGGGTTTGGCACTCTGCTCATTACAGTGGGCGTACCCCAGCTTACGATGGGTGTACACACCCACGCACGCGCCAACTAACCATGCACACATGGGGCCGATTTGCCATTCTTTTCCATTAGGAGCCAAATCTGCCAATAGTTTCAAATTACCATAACTTCCTCATTTTAGGCCCGTTTCCAATGAACCTTATATCCATGGAAAGGTGGAGAGAAGCCCTACGCTTCTAACAACACACCAAAGCATTAAAACTTCCCGAACAAAACCCAAAAATTCACAAAAGACCGAGTTATCAAATTACGATTATATCATTGGCCTCCGAAAACATCATCGCACACTTTGATCACTTAAACCAGAACACCTACACCCGAAAAGGGCCAAATCTTTTCTTACCGAGGCCCTAAACTTCATAATAATTGGAGATTGGGCCACAGCCCCGAAGAATGAAGCAAATCCAAAACCGAGTTTTACATACATGATTCAGAAAGTTATGATATTTTTCAATCGAAATGTTCATGTATAAGGTTAAGTTCATGAAATAAATAAATTTTGTACAATGTGGCGAAACCATTATATATATATATATATATATATATATATATATATATATATATATATGTGTGTGTGTGTGTGTGTGTTCTAAGAACCATACGTGTTGTGAGAACTTTAGAACCATTTGTAACTATTAGATTAAGAACATCAATGAACGCAATTGATTCTAAGAAGATCAACTATATTCCATAAAAGATTACTTTTATGATTTTAGTCATGACTAAATTTCTTTATATTCAATTTCTTTCTTTACAATCAACACTATACACATTTTCAGTTGGCATATATTACCATTTTGTTGTTATTATTATTATTATCATCATCGTCGACGGCGGCGGCAATAACAACTAAGTGGGCTAACCCAATTCCTACACTTTATATCCTAGTGAAAGAAATATTATTTTACATAAAAGATAATATTATAGTCTAACTATCACTCATCAATGTAGATCATTTTCAACTCTAATACATTTGATAAATTGGAGAGATACGTCAAGTCCTTGCTTGGATGATCTATCTAAGGGGTGATGTGGACTTGTAAGTGCAATCACAACCAAGGAGATGGAGAGGGAGAGGGAGATGGAGAGGGATATATATATATATATATATATATATATATATATATATATATATATA